GGTTACACTTTATTTTAAGGTGTCCTTGTTACAGTGTAATTATACATTTAATTACTGAGTAATATTAATTAACTACATCTACTTACTATATGGTTAGGTTTTGGGTTTGGTTTAGGGTCACTAGCATGTAATTATGCATAATTAATTGTTATTATAATAGTAAGTACATGTAACATGTGTAACAAGGACATCTTAAAGTGCTACCGAGATTTTTTATATATATATATATTCTATTTTTATTTAATTTTAGTTAAAGTTTTAGTCATTTGTTGTGTATTTTTGCCATTTTCATTATTTTTTTAATATGTCTATATTAAGTTTTAGGTTTTAGTTTATGAGTAAAAATATAGATTTTTTTTATTTTTTGTGAGTAAAAATATATTTTTAATAGTTAATATAATGTTCAACGATTTCAAGAGAATTATTTTATTTTTAAGGCAGTATTACAGTCATAAAAATTCATAAAAGGCCCTGAAAAAAACTATAAACCAACTTCCAAATGGACTCTATTTATTATCTTATCTTATGTTTTTAGTCTTACTGTGAATGATACATTTTTTATTAATTTGTATTTTTTATTAGTATAAATTGATTTAAATTTATAAAAAATGCATTTATTATTTATTTATTATTATTATTATTATATTATTAATAATAATAATAATATATTAATTATACATTATATATAAAAAAAATCCTTCTGTGTATATATATATATATATGCCTATTTTGAATCGGATTTTTATTTTTATATTTTGTGTTTTTATTTTAATTTTGGTTAGTTTTAGTAATTTTGTGTTGTGTTTTCCTTATTTTTTTCTTAAATATGTATATATAGTTTTTATTCGTTTTAGTTTATTTAGTTTTAGCAATTAATTTAATTTGCTGAAATAAAATAAGCTAAAGTTTTTACTAGATTTTATTTTAGTTTATTTAATTTGAAGTAATGAAAAAGGGTTTTTTATGGCTTGACTCCTACGTAACATTATAACAACCCTAGTTTTCATATAAGACTCACAGAAGTTAAAAAAGTAATTTCATGCTGACTTTAGAGCGTCACGCATACAGCACTAACACCTACCGGATCCAGGTGTGCAGCTGAAGCCGTCGCCGTGGAAACCAGGCCGGCACTGACAGGTGAAGGAGCCCTGGGTGTTGTGGCAGATGGCATCGCTATGGCAACGGCCCGGCTGGCACTCATCGATATCTGCATGCCACAGAGAGAGAGAGAGAAAATCACATGCAAACAGCTCTATGTGCACAGCTTTAACAGCTCAGTCAGCCTCGACTCTTCAGAATCAGCTCTATATGAAGGAATGCACATCTGTTGCGTGTTATTAATGAAGTATGTCGACCCTGCAGCGAATCGCTCACACAAACATACATGTGTGCAACACACCAGCCCTTCCTTACAGCTGGAGCGTCTCAGACGACCTCAGCGTGAAAATGTGAGACTGAGCCGTTATGACGTGGGAGACTAAATAACGCACACAGCTGTGGCGAGCACTTCCTGTCCAGATCACAGCACTTCCTGTCTCTGGGGGCCCTGCTGTCTGCTGAGAGACTGACACAAAACCCACAGACGCTTCACTGTACTGAATAATGACACTGCTGTGTTTTCAGTCTGTATTGTAGAAAGCGCTGTAGAAATAAATGTGAGTTGAGTTGACGACTGTCTTCAAATATGGCTTCATCTGAGTCAGAATAAGGATCATACGTGATTGATTTGAAATCATCTCAAACAAATCAAAATCAACATATTTCTTATTTTAAATTTAATCCTAAACAACTGTTTTTGAAAGGTGAGAAAAAAAAAAAACTAATAAAAATTGACAAAAAACACAACAAAATTACTACAACTTTAACTAAAATTAAAGAGAAAAAAGCAAATATAAAAATAAAAGCTAATAAATAAAAATTAATAACTATATAGACTATATAAACTATATAGACATTTTTTTTTTTTTAAATCATAAAAATTACAAAAAAGCACTACAATAATACTAAATCTTTAACTGAAATTAAAGCGAAAACAGAAAATATAGAAATAAAAACGAATAAATGAATTTATAAAAACTATAGACATTTAAAAAACAAAAATTAATAAGAATGACAAAAAAACACAACAAAATCACTATAACTAAAACTAAAGTGAAAATATAAAAATAAAGACTAATAAATAGAATTTAATAAAAACTATATAGACATTTAAAAACAAAAATTAATAAAAATGACAAAAACACACAACAAAATTACTAAAACTTTAATTAAAATTCAAGTGAAAAAGGAAAATATAAAAATAAAAATTTATGAATATATAGACTATATAAACTATATAGACATATTTTTAAAAATCATAAAAATAACAAAAAACACTAAAAAAATACTAAATCTTTAACTGAAATGAAAGTGAAAACAGAAAATATAAAAATAAAGACTAATAAATAAATTTATAAAAACTATATAGAAATATTTAAAAAGAAAAAATTATAAAAATGACCAAAAAAAAAGCACTACAAAAATACAAAATCTTTAACTGAAATTAAAGAGAAAACAGAAAATATACAAATAAAACGAATAAATAAATGTATAAAAACTATATAGAAATATTTAAAATATAAAAATTTATAATGACAAAAAACACAAAAAAATCACTAAAACTAAAGTGAAAATATAAAAATAAAAACGAATAAATAGAATTTAATAAAAACGATATACATTTAAAAACTAAAATTAATAAAAATGATAAAAACACACAACAGAATTACTTTTAGTTAATCACATTAACTAAAATTAAAAGAAAAATTAAAAAAATTAAAATGTAATCTTATGCAAAATATTAACTACATTTTAGTATATCAGTTTTGCCAAGGCAATATTTCTCATTTTCGTTTAGTTTAAATTGAAGTGCTAAAATAACTGAAACTAAATCAAGTGAAAGCTTAATAAATTACTAAAACTTTCAAATTAAAATAAAAACTAAAATGTATAAATAAAATCTAATTCTAAAAATTGTAGTATATCAGTCATATTAAAATGACACTGATATCAATATATTTTAAAACATACTGTGCATGTATTTTTGTGTGTTTATACTGAAACTATACACTCTAAAAATGCCGGGTTGTTTCAACCCAACTTTGGGTCAAATATGGACTAACCCAACCGTTGGGTTAAATTGTTACATTAAATTTTTAACCCAACAGTTGGGTTAGTCCATATTTGACCCAAAGTTGAGTTGAAACAACCCAGCATTTTTTAGAGTGTA